CCACGCCGTCGCCGGCGACTCATGGCAGCCCAGCTCCAGGTTGAGCTGTTGTTCAGCATCTTAGCTGTAGAGGGCAGTGTCACTGGCCCTCATATCACATCTGCCTATTTTTCATAGCATTGCGTTTTTTATGATGTTTTAGATTTCTTTGGTTATAACCTTTAAACATCCTTACTTTACGGTTTCTACCCGATCGCTCTGTGAAATTCTTGGGGTTAAGTCACACTGTTTGTTGCTTCGGGAGCCCGAGCTCCTCTGACGCCCGCGTGCCCTGGAGCAGGAAAAAGCCCCTTGGAATGGCTTTGCGAGGCCCCTTGCCAAGCACCCCAGGGTGTCACCAGCCTTGTGCCACTTTTTATGTTAATTTCTTGGTTTAGAGGTGCCCTTGTTTTAGTAGATTACTGAAAAATCAAACAGCGGCTGGAGGCCCTTGGTTCCAGATTCAAGACAGATGGGATGTGATTACCTGTCTGTGGCAGGGTATTCCTGCTCCTTACGCCGGGGACCTCCAGATGTCCCTGGACTTTGAGGGACAGCAGTGTTGACTCCCAAGCCCTATGGACCCTCGTGGGGGACAGGGCTACCGCTGCGTGATCTGAGTTCGGGGTCTCACCTTCGTGGAATGGCTTCTGGGGTCGCACACAGCACTGTTGTGGCGCTGGCCTGGGACCCAGGAGCACACCGCCCGGCTTGGGGCTGCTTCCCGCCCCCACCTTGGCTGAGCTGTGGTCTGTGCTGGGGGTGGGGCTTTGGCACGGGAGCCTGTGCAGTAGGTGGCTGCAACCTCAGTTCCCAGCTGCAACCAGCTGTCCCCTTGCCCGCTGAGCCAACAGAAGCTGTGCTCTAGGACAGCAGGCAGGATTCCAGCCCTCTGAGTGGTGTCCACCCCCGGCTGGAAGAGGAAGCAGCTCTTGGCCACCTGCCCTGGGGAGGTGCCCTGGGTGTGTGGGGGCGTCTGGCTGAGCTCAGGGCTGCATGCTGCGTGAGGCCTGGCCCTCGGGCTGACCAGGAGAGGCCATGGGCTTGGCCTTGGGTCCTGGCCCTGGTGGGGATGGCATAGCTCCAGGGGCCAGTGCCCCAGGCTGACCTGCAGGCAGGGGCCACCGCACTGACCACTCCATGCCCTGCCCCGGGCGCCACCCACCAACAGCACCCCTGCTGTAGCTCCCGCCTTCCACAAAGGCCTTCCACAGCACCTGCTGCTCCTGCTCCCTGTGTCCCTCTGGGTCCACAGTGGGTCTGAGCCCCTCCTGGCCCCTGTGTCCCCACAGGCTGCAGTGTGCCTGCCAGCACAACACTTGCGGGGGCTCCTGTGACCGCTGCTGCCCAGGCTTCAACCAGCAGCCGTGGAAGCCGGCGACGTCGGACAGTGCCAACGAGTGTCAGTGTGAGTGCCCCCATATGCACACACGGTTGCTCACGGATCCATTCACACGTGACTCACATGCCCTTGCTCATGTGTGCACAACTGACACACACATGTTCACAGGTGCACACACAATACTCAGGCACACACTCGCACGATGCACATGCACACATGGTGCTCACACACTTGTGCACATACATAAAATGCTCACATGTTCACAGATGCACACACACGTGTGCTGTTGGCACACTCAGGCAACACAGCACGTTCTGCCACCTGAGCCAGGCCACATCTGGGGTCATCTGTGGTTTGTGGATGTGGCCCGGAGGTCCCAGGGGGGCTGCCGGCAGCTGAGTGCCCTTCTCTCCAGCCTGCAACTGCCACGGCCACGCACACGACTGCTACTACGATCCCGAGGTGGACCGGCTCAACGCCAGCCAGAACCAGGACAGCATCTACCAGGGCGGGGGCGTGTGCATCGACTGCCAGGTGGGCTGGGTGCTGCCAGGCCAGGCGTGTGGTGGAGCTCAGGGGAGACGAGGCACTCAAGGAGGGTGGGGCCACCGTGATGGGGGGGAAGCGCCCTGGGACTCAGTGGCCCTCTACCACCCCAGCACCACACCACCGGCATCAACTGTGAGCACTGTCTGCCAGGCTTCTACCGCGCCCCAGACCACCCCCAGGACTCACCCCACGCTTGCCGCCGTGAGTGGGGTCCCCCTGGGTGGGCGTCCTGGGGACAGGGATGGCCAGGAGCCGGGTCTGCCCAGGCAGGGGGTGTCCAGGGTCTCCAGCTCCCTGGTGCCCGGGCCCTCGCCGCTCTGGGAGGCCTGGCCACGGCTCTCATCCCACTGCCCAGATTGGCCTGATAGCTCTGGGCTTGGGGTCTCATGATTTCCCGGCCCCTGGTCCCCACCCAGGCTGCAACTGCGAGTCGGACTTCACCGACGGGACGTGTGAGGATCTGACTGGCCGCTGCTACTGCCGGCCGCGTTTCACGGGGGAGTGGTGTGACGCGTGCGCCGAGGGCTTCACGGGCTTCCCGCTCTGCTACCGTGAGGGTGCCGGCCTGGGGGTGGGGGGCCTGGGGGGACCCTTTTGTCCTGCCTGGCTGACATGCTGTGTCTCCCCCATCCAGCGGTGCCCTCCTCCCACAATGACACCGGGGAACAGGTACTGCCGGCCGGACAGATTGTGAGTAAGTGTCCCCAAGGTCCCCACTGCCCTGCGTCTCACTGGAGCAGTGGTACAGGAGGGGGCTACATGCAGCAAGGGAGGGTTTTCATTTTGGTCACGTTCATTTTGGTTCTTTTATTTGCGTGTAAATAAACATGTTCATGCGAGAAAACCTTCAAAAATATAGGTAAGCATAAAGTCGGCGCAAAACGTTATCCAGACTTGGCGCCACCTACAAGTCACCCCTTTCCACTGTGGAACCTTTCTGCATGCGTGCACACTCGGTTTCCCCAAACACTGACGTGTGCTGCGCGCCGTTTCATAACTGCAGCTTCCACCCACCACAATCCTGTAAACATGTCACTTCTTGGTCTGCGTTATACTGAAGGCTGTAGCATCTATTTAACCAACTCTCAATTGTTGGAAACTTCGGTTCTTTCTAATTTTCTATTTTCAGATAATGCTCCGATAAACATCCTTGCAGCTAAAGCTTTCCATAAATTCTTATGTTTTTCTGTAGGACAGTTTCCCAAAAGGAGGTTCTGCGCAGGCTAGACAGGCATGCTGGGCCATTCTGGGCCGCAGGCTGCCAAGCTGCTCTCTCCAAATTAAACAGTCTACCAGCGTGGAGTCGCACTAGCGAAGTTCACACACATTCATCAAGTCATTGTGTTGATGACACAGCAACATTTATTGTCAGCTTGATTTGCATCCACTGGGAGACGCGCTTCCGCCTCCTGGCTGTTTCTGGCACTGGGAGCGTCTTTAGGTTGATGGCTTGTCATTGTCTTATCAGCAGGTGTCTTCCTTTCATAATAGGACATAAAATAATGGTGTGTTTTGTATTCGGTGATGTCGTCGATTCGATTGCATTTGGATCTCATTGTTTTCAGCTGCATTTTTTCCTTGTTCACTGGGGCGAGTTCTGTTCACGTTAATTATTACTCATTTCTCACCGCTCATATTTTTCTCCCAACGGGTCATTTGCCCTTTACTTTTTAGGGTGCTTTTATTTGTATGCCGGTGTTGTAAACTTCAGGCGAATCCGGTGACGTTTGTGCTTTGTGGTCTCTGAGTCAGTCATCTTTAGATGGCGGTCCCTAAGTCCATCTAGTGTTGTGTCTGTTGGTTCTCTGGCAGTTTTTCTTTTTTACATTTATGTGTTTCGTTTTTCGTCTGTGGTGTAAACCAGCCAGTAGTCGTTTTCTGAAAAGGGCCACGCGGCCAGTGTTTTGGACATGGAGGGCCGTGCAGTGTCTGTCGTGGCGCTTACCTCTGCCCTTGCGTGTTGCAGGTCGAAAGCCGCACACACGTGGGCTTGGCCGAGTGCCAGTAAAACTATTTACAGACCAGGCGGCGGGGCCTTGCGGTAGTTTGCTGTCCCTGCTGTAAACTCCTGACAATCCGCCACTGGCCTGGGGTTACTCAGCAATTCCTTCCTGTGATGGTCCAGTGTTCGCTTTCCTTTCTTTCGTAAACTAGGTCTTCTGTGTCTTTTTTTAAAATTTATTTTTAATTATAGTTGACATATATATTCGTTTCAGGTGTATGACATAGTGAGTCAACGTTTATATACTTTACAAAGCGATCAATCCCTGGAATAAGTCTAGTAACCATCTGACACCATGCAAGGTTATTACCTGTGCTGTTTGTTACATCCCCGTGGCTTAATTTATAACTTAATCGCCTTTTCCTTTTCCGCCCAACCCCCATCTCTCTGGCAACCATCAGTTTGTTCTTGTATCTATGAGTTTGTTTCTGTTTTGTTTTGTTGGTTTTCTTTTTTAGATTGCACATGTAAGTGAAGTCACAGCTTATTTGTCTTTCTCTGTCTGACTCTCTGAGTATTTCACGTAGCATTATGTCTTCTAGATCCGCCCATGTTGTTGCAAATATTAAGATTTCATTCTTTTTTATGGCTGATACTCCACTGAATATATGTCCTTCCTCGTCTTTATCCAGTCATCTGCCGATGGACGCTAAGGTTGTGTCCATAGCTTGGCTATTGTGAATAGCGCTACACTGAACATAAGGGTGCAGGTATTTTTTTGACTTAGTGGGTTTTTTCTTCAGATAAATACCCACAAATGGGATTGCTGGAGCCTACAGTAATTCTATTTTCAATATTTTGAGGACCTTCCATACTGTTTTCCATAGTGGCTGCACCAGTTTACATTCCCATCAACAGTGCGGGGGGTCCCCTTTTCTCCACGTCCTCGCCAACACTTACCTCTTGTCTTTTTTTGAGAACAGCCATTCTGACAGGTGGGGTGACATCTCACTGTGGTTTTGATTTGCATTTCTCTGATGACGAGTGACGTTGAGCAGCTTTTCACGTGTCTATTGGCCATCTGTCTCTCCTCTTTGGAGAAATGTTTATTCCGGTCTTCTGCCCATTTTTTTATTGGATTGTTTTTTTGTTTGTTTGTTTTTTTATGTTGAGCTGTATGAGTTTTTATGTATCTTATGTATCTTTTATGATAGTACCCCCTTATCAGATGTATCATTTGAAAATATCTTTTCCAATTCAGTAGGCTGCCTTTTTCCCTCATCGATGGTTTCCTTCGCCAAGCAAGCACAGTTTCACTTTCAGCCTGTGCCCTCGCAGTGAGTGCTGTTAGTGCATTCCCTCAGTCGGACGCCACTGAGCACAGCGCCGGTTGCGAGGCTTCTCGGTTTCTTTTCTGTTCTTTTTTTGTTGGTTCAGTCCTCATTTTACTGCCTCGGGGTCAGATTTGGTAGGCTGATAATTTCTGCTTTTTTGTCTTTGGAATTTGAGATTTTTCTTTGTTTTTCACCCTTTTAGATTGACAGGACAGTGTGTTCTCTGTTGGGGACAGATTTCTGTGTGGGCACCTATTAAAGCACACGTATTATTATGCTGTTTAAATCCACTCTGTCCTTGCTTATTATTTATTTATTTATTTATTTTTGCTTAATTTTTTCTCGTATTCTGAGAACAGTATTCAGTCTGTCTCAAGGTTGTAACAGTTCAGCTTTCTGCACCCCGAGACCATATTTATCCTGCTCGTAGAGCATTGGGTTTGCCACCTCTCTTGGGGAGCGAGTCTATTTTCTCACCGGACGTCTCCCTTTGTCCCCGTTAACACTCGTGGCCTTGGGTTTGCTGACTCTTCTTCATCTCCATCCTCACCTGCTCTGCATCTGTCCTCCGGTCAAGACGTCCTTTCAAGACGACGTGCCTGGATTTTCCTTTTAGAATCAAACTGACACCTTTGGGTTGTAGCTCAGGAAAGGAGGCTTGGCCTGGCACAGGGACGGTGGTCGCTGTCAGTTGCGCTCCATTTCTGCTTAATTTTTCCTTTCCTGCCTTTCTCTGGAGTGAGCAACCAAACATGTTTTGGTTTTGGCTGGTTGGTTTGTGTTCCCTTCTCCGAGCATTTGCAAGTTCTTTTTCTATCTTCTGGCCTGGTCCATGGTGACCTTTCTGACAAACATTGAACCGTTATTTTCCGTCGTAACAAAAACTAAATAGTATTTATGACCTTCTCTTTATGCATAAATTAAGCCATTAAAAAAAAAAGACATTTAGCGTGCTTTGTCTCCCTTCTTCCCAACCCCAGAATTATTTATAAAGACTAGACGGGTTTGTTTTGCTGTGCTATGATTTTGTGTTTACATTTTCTCTGTGTTAACACCCACAATTGTTTACATCATGAACCACCAAGTACACTGTGTATAGTTGTCATTTTATCACACACCACGTATTTCCTGAAATGTCGGCTTTTCCCTTCTTGAGATTTTTATTGTCCTTTAGTTTTGTACACGTGCAGTGTAAAAGTGTAAGGAAATGAGTTTGCGGAGAAGGGAGGTTTTCCGGCGGGGAGGGCCCCCTCCGCAGGGCATCTGAGGCTCCCCTCCTGTCCCCCACCCGCCAGACTGTGACTGCAGCGCCGCTGGGACCCAGGGCAACGCCTGCCGGAAGGACCCGCGGGTGGGACACTGCGTGTGCAAACCCAACTTCCAGGGCACCCACTGCGAGCTCTGCGCCCCAGGGTTCTACGGCCCAGGCTGCCAGCGTGAGTGCAGCCCCATCCCCAACCCCATTGCTCTGTGGAGCCGGAGCCTGGCCTCTCCTGACCGGCGTGACCATCCTTCCCTGCAGCCTGCCAGTGTTCTAGCCCTGGAGTGCTGGACAGTGATTGTGACCGTGACTCGGGCCAGTGCACGTGCCGAGCAGGCTTCGAGGGGGCCGCCTGTGACCGCTGTGCTCCTGGCTACTTCCACTTCCCCCTCTGCCAGCGTGAGCATGGCCACCCCAAGGGGCTGGGTAGGCGTGGGGCCCGGGGCCCTACCTGCCTGGCTCAGGGCCACTGTGTGCCTCTCTGCTCCGCAGTGTGTGGCTGCAGCCCTGCCGGGACACTGCCCCAGGGCTGTGACAAGGCTGGCCGCTGCCCATGCCGGCCTGAGTTTGATGGCCCTCACTGTGACCGCTGCCGCCCTGGCCACCATGGCTACCCTGACTGCCGTGGTGAGCAGAGGGTGGGGAGGGGCTGGGGCCTGGGTGGGGCAGGAGGGCCACCCACACATGCCCATGGCCTGACCCCGTGTCCCTTGCAGCCTGCAACTGTGACCCTCAGGGTGCTTTGGACCAGCTCTGCGGGGCAGGCGGCTTATGCCGCTGCCGCCCCGGCTACACGGGCGCCACCTGCCAGGAGTGTAGCCCTGGCTTCCACGGCTTCCCCGCCTGTGCCCGTGAGTGTCCTTGCGGGAGGCCGGGAGGGCAGGTGTGTCCCGCTGCGTGCCTACATCCTCCCTCCTCCCCCAGCCTGCCAGTGCTCTGCCGAGGGCTCCCTGCACGCAGCCTGCGACCCCCGCAGCGGGCAGTGCAGCTGCCGACCCCGTGTGACGGGGCTGCGATGTGACACATGTGTGCCTGGCACCTACAACTTCCCCTACTGCGAAGGTGAGGCTGGCGCAGCGTGCATGTCGTGTGCTGTGTGTGGGTCGCGCACTGCACACCTTCACGTGCTGGGGTTCCCGCCACCGTCTGTGTGCTCGTGTGTGTGTGTCGGGGGTTGTTCACGCATGCATTCATGTCCGTGTCTGTGTGCTTCGTGAGTGTCCATACTCATCTGCTGGGTTGTGTGTGCTCACGTGCTTTGTGCATGTGTGTGCTCACGTGGCTGTCCACACACGGTACTTGCTTATATGTGTTCTCATGCCATGTGTGCTCATAACCATGTGCTGTGTGGTGGGGCAGGGCACACGCCCTTGCAGCGTGGGCACCAGAGCATGGACATACACATCTTCATGCCTGTTTATGCATGTGTGAGGCATAGGAGGCATGTGAGGCCATGGACCCTGGCCAGGCCTTGGGGAAGTTCTTGGCCATCAGGGTCAGTGACCAAGGAATGACCATGGCCTGGGTGTCTCTCCACAGATGGCTCCTGTCACCCTGCTGGTCTAGCCCCAGCCAATCGCATCCCACCTGAGGTGAGCCCAGGTCAGCCCTTGGTGGGGCTGAGGCATCACTTCCCCTGCTGTTTAGTTACCATGGCAACCTCAGGGCCCGTTTGTTCCCCTGGCTGGTCTTCTCTCCGCAATCTGGGGGCGTGCCAGAGAGGGGACAATCAGGGTTCCAGGGCTGAGGGTTTGTGGAGAGGAGGGCAGGGACCCACTCTGACCCGTAGTCTCGTCCTCTCGCAGGCACAGGCCTCCTGTACATGCCGGGCTCATGTGGAGGGGCCAAGCTGTGATCGCTGTAAACCTGGGTTCTGGGGACTGAGTCCCAGCAACCCCAAGGGCTGCACCCGTGAGTCTGCCCAGAGAGGGTACTGGGGTCTGGGGGAGGTTCCTGGGGGCCAGGGAGGTGAGGACTGGCCCCACAGAGTCCAGGCCCTCCTGCCCCCTCCCCTACTCAGGCTTGCTGTGCTCCCCCCACAGGCTGCAGCTGCGACCCCAGGGGTACACTGGGTGGAGTTGCCGAGTGCCAGCTGGTGAGTCTGAGGGCTGATGTGCTGGGGGCTGTGGGGGCAGGTGTACCGGTACCCCCCCCCACCTGCTCCCACCTTCTCTCTCGGCCCCCAGGGCAATGGCCAGTGCTTCTGCAAGCCCCACGTGTGTGGCCTGACCTGCGCAGCTTGCAAGGACGGCTTCTTTGGGCTGGACCAGGTTGACTACTTTGGCTGCCGCAGTAAGTGTCCACTTACTGGGCTCTGGGGGAGGCTGAGGCCCAAGGAGGGACAGATGAGACAGGCCCCCGGCAGGCCTGGGCATGGTAAGGCCCAGACGTTGGACCAGCACTCACTGAGCTGCTTCCGGTTGCCTGGCCAGGCCATGCTGGGCCTGGGGAAGGAGACGCGCTGAGTTCCGCCTGTGGTCCTCCTCCCCTCCGTCCTGCGCTCCCGGCAGACAGCACCGATCAATCAATCCCAGAGCCTTTGCACCTGAGCCTGGACTCAGGCCCTCCATGGTCCAGAGCCCTGGGCAGCGCTCGTGTGGAGAAAAGTTGGTTTCTCAGCCGCTATTGCTCTTTCAGGGTGGACGTAGCCCCAGGGGCCTGTCTGTGAACCGAGCAGGCTCTGAGCCAGGGGGCTGGTGGGGGGAGCCCCCGGGTGGGGGGAGGCCGGGCGGCACTGACCTCGGGCCCTCCTGCTTAGGCTGCCGGTGCGACGTTGGAGGTGCGCTGGGCCAGGGCTGTGAACCCAGGACGGGCGCCTGCCGGTGCCGGCCTAACACCCAGGGCCCCACCTGCAGCGAGTGAGTGTCCCCACCCCAACCGGGCTGGGGGCAGGGGGCCAGGGGAGGTGTGTTCCTGGGCACCCTGCGGGCTGGGCGGGATGGCAGCCTGCCCCTGAGCACCCTGCCTGGCCAGGCCGGCGCGGGACCACTACCTCCCCGACCTGCATCACCTGCGCCTGGAGCTGGAGGAGGCTGCCACCCCCGACGGCCATGCCGTGCGCTTTGGCTTCAACCCCCTCGAGTTTGAGAACTTCAGTTGGAGGGGCTATGCGCAAATGGCGCCCATCCAGGTGGGTGTGGTGCTGCCCGGTCCCGGGGCTCAACTTGAAGTGCCCAGTGTGGCTGGCAGAGTGGGGGGGGGGCAGGCTCCCGCGATCACAGGACTGGGCTGGAAATGGCCGGAGAGGGGCAGCCCTGCCTGACCACACTGCCCCTCACCAGCCCAGGATCGTGGCGAAGCTGAACGTGACCTCCCCTGACCTCTTCCGACTCGTCTTCCGCTATGTGAACCGCGGGCCCACGAGCGTGAGCGGGCGCGTCTCTGTGCGGGAGGAGGGCAAGTTTGCCACCTGTGCCAACTGTGAGTGCGGTGGGGCCGCGCCCACCTACTCCTGCCACCCCCCGCATCCACTCACACCTCCATCCCACCCGGCCCCGGCCCCACCTGGGACCCACACGTGGGTGGGGAGGCCCGCGGGGATGGCCCGCAGGCTGTGTGCAGTGTCTCACCCCCTCCCCCAGGTACGGAGCAGAGCCAGCCCGTGGTCTTTCCACCCAGCACGGAGCCTGCCTTTGTCACTGTGCCCCAGAGGGGCTTCGGGGAGCCCTTCGTGCTGAACCCTGGCACCTGGGCCCTGCTCGTGGAGGCTGAAGGGGTGCTCCTGGTGAGGCGGCGGCTGAGGGGGGTGGGCAGAGCCCGGGTAGGGGCACAGCACCAACCTCCCACCCGACCCCTCCAGGACTACGTGGTGCTGCTGCCCAGTGCCTACTACGAGGCGGCCGTGCTACAGCTGAGGGTGACCGAGGCCTGCAGGTTCCAGAGCACCGCCCAGCACGCCGGGGAGAAGTGAGTGCGGATGTGCCGGGGCGGGCCGGTCTTCCTGTGCTCAGGCCACAAGCGCTGTGCTGACCACAGACTGTGTCCCCCCCACCCAGCTGCCTCCTCTACACACACCTGCCCCTGGACGGCTTCCCCTCAGCCTCTGGGCCCAAGGCCCTGTGTCGCCATGACAACAGCCTACCTCGGCCCTGCCCCACGGAGCAGCTCAGCCCCTCACACCCACCGCTGGCCGCCTGCCAGGGCAGTGATGTGCGTGTCCCTGGGATCTCGTAGAGGGGCAGGCGGTGTCGAGGCCTAGGGGAAGGCATGCCTTTGGCCTGGGGGACCGGGGTCATCTCGTAGTGATAGGACACAGGCTCAGAGCAAGGGCGGCTTGGGCAAGGCCGAGGGTTTCACTGGAGAGCGAGGACACCCAAGGGCCTCATCCGTAACTGGGCATCGACAGCCGCAGCCCTCTGGCTCACTGTGAGGACAAAGCACGTTTGGGCTAGATCTCCAGGCACTGGGCGTTCAGCAGTCATGAGGCCGTGGGTTTCAGGTGGGCAGGGGAGGCTGGGAGTGGGCAGAGGTCAGTCAGAAGGCCGAATGGCTGCAGTGTCCAGGGCGCACGTGAGGTACTATCCTCTAGGTGGGGGCTGGGGCGGGCCCTGATTGCCCTATCCCCCCAGATGGACATCCAGCTGCAGGTAACGGTGCCACGGCCTGGCCGCTATGCCCTGGTTATGGAGTACGCCAATGAGGATGCCCACCAGGAGCTGGGCGTGGCCATGCACACCCCCCAGAGGGCACCCCAGCAGGGGGCGCTCACCCTGCACCCCTGCCTGTACAGGTGGGTGGGGAGGGGCTAGGGGGGCAGGCGGGAGGGTGCCGGCAGGGGCTGCCCACCTGCTGACCACCCCTGCCCCGTCCCCTAGCACCCTGTGCCGAGGCACCGCCCTAGATGCCCAGCGCCACCTGGCAGTGTTCCACCTGGACACAGAGGCCAGCATCCAGCTCACGGCCGAGCAGGCACGCTTCTTCCTGGTAAGGCCCTGACCCTCACCTGCATGGGCCCCCGCACCCCCCAAGGGTCGGGTCTTTCAGGACATTGTCAGCAGGCATGATAGAAGAGTGTCATGTGCCCAGGTACCCACCACCAGTGCCACCATTAGCTTGTGCCCAGTCACGTTTCTCCCAGAACCTTTTCCCCTGCAGGGGTTTCTTTTCCCGTGGGTACAAAATGTATATTTATTTAGTAGTAATGCCCGTGGCCACGTAAGAGGAAGTATGATATGCTGGAGTGGGACTGGAAACAAAAGTCCTTTTTTTGGTATAATTGATCAAAACACACCACTGTGTGAATGGGGGTCCACTCACCGGGGGGGCCTGAAGCTTAAGGTTCAGGGGCATCGTGGTAATTTTCTTCCCTATCTACATCGCAGGGGTGTGAGAATTAAGTCACTGGAACCACTACACACTGTGCAGTCTTAATCATTTTTCTGGTGCCCAGAACCAAGCGTCCATGTTTCTTTAATATCAGACAAAATGGACGGTGCTTGCTCTCTTCAGAGTAGGATATGGCCTATTGTACAAAATACATCAGTGCGATATGTGCGTAATTTTTATCCAACTGTCAAACGCTGCTGCGACACTTTATGCACAAGAGAGTGACCCTGAGCCCTGGCGTCAGGGTTTCTAGTCCCGCTTTGCAGCGTCCATCCGCCCCTGATTGGTCCGTGTGGGGACCCTGTGGTTCTTCCCGCTCTGTGGTCATGGACTAGCTTGTGTCAAACTTTTCTGTGTGCACGAAAGAGCAGCCCTGGCGCACAGCCCGGGTATTTCCCGCCGCACTCTGACAGCACTGCTTACCTTGCCTGTTCTGGAACTCTCTGCAAGATACCACACAGCGCTCTTCTGTGCTGCTCTTTTGCCGACTCCCTGGGAGATGGCTTTGTGTGTTGCCACGGTCACGCGGCGTTCCTAGTCTTCGCTGTGGGGTTTTTCTATGTGTTGTCATATTTGTCACGTGTACACTTACGTCACGGTAGGTGGCACAGGGCAGGACGTCCGCTCATGAGCCTGTGTTTACCGAGCACCTGCCTGTGCCAGTCCCCATCCCTGGACCTGAGTGGGGACAGGTGGTTGCTGTGCGACTGAATAACTGCAGGTGGCGATGGGCAGCCAGCGGAGAGGGGCGGCCACAGGGATAACAGGGCGATACCTTGGGTCCCACAAACTGCAGCTGAAGGCTGGGGGTTGTGTAGCCAGAGGAGGGGCTGGTGGATCTGGGCAGGGACTTGGTGCAAAGACCAGGACCCAGGTCAGACCCCGGGGTGTGGACGGGCCCCACCTCCACCTCCACACCTGGCCCTCTGCCCACAGCACAGCATCACCCTGGTGCCCGTGGAGACATTCAGCTCAGAGTTCGTGGAGCCCCGAGTCCACTGTGTCAGCAACCATGGCACCTTCAACCCCAGCAGGTAGTGTGGCTGGAGGGGCCTGCGTGGCCAGCGGGTGCGCCGGCCAGGACTCGGGGACTCACCCCCGTGTTCCCCCAGTGCCGCCTGCCTGCCTTCCCGCTTCCCGAAGCCGCCCCAGCCCATCATCCTCAGGGACTGTCAGGTGCTGCCGCTGCCACCCAGCCTCCCGCTCAGCCATTCGCAGGAGCTCACCCCAGGCGCACCCCCGTCTGGGCCCCAGCCTCGGCCCTCCACCGCCGTGGACCCCAACGTGGAACCCACCCTGCTGCGCCACCCCCAGGTGGGACTCGGGGTGCAGGTGTGGGCTGGGGTGGACCTTGTGGCCCCTCATCAGCCGCCCTTGGCAGGTGGTCCAGGCAGCAGTGGGGCCAGTCGGGGTCCCCCACTAGAGTCCCCCACTAGCATCCCCACACCTTTGCCTGCTCACGGGAGCCTCTCCTTGCAGGGCACAGTGGTCTTCAACACACACGTGCCCACCCTGGGCCGCTATGCCTTCCTGCTGCACAGCTACCAGCCGGCCCACCCCACCTTCCCTGTGGAGGTCCTCATCAACGGGGGCCGCGTCTGGCAGGGTGAGTGGCCGCAGCGGGCGGTAGGGGACAGCTCCCGGGTAAGGAGCCTCGCAGGGGTCTCTCGTTCACACAGCCTCCTGGTGTGGGCCTCACACCACGGGGACAGATGGTGTGCTTGTTCCATGGCTCGTGTGGCCCACGGCGTGAGTGACAGGTCCACGCACCCCATCATGCTGTCAGTTCTCAAACGAGGTGCCCCAGGACCCAGTGTCCAATGCCAGGAGCCCCAGCCTCCCGACCCCCTTCCCAGCCTCTGCTCTTTGTACCTGTTTTATAAATTAGGGTTCACCTGTCACACAGGTAATGGAGGGTTCACTGCGGGGTGCTGGTTGATGGCACACGTGTTCCTACGTGTTTGTTTTATTCCCCGTCTGCCGAGCCCAGGGACTTGCACTTAATGGGCCTTCATGGGTGACCACAGCTGACTCATGTAGTGTGAGCGGGCCCAGCCGCTGACGTCAGGAGTGCCCTGGACCCAGGATAAGGCCGTGGGGCCACGGTGGTCGGTGTGTTGGGGGATGACCTGCCTTTTCTTGTCCCTCCAGGCCACGCCAACGCCAGCTTCTGCCCACACGGCTATGGCTGCCGCACCCTGGTGGTGTGTGAGGGCCAGGCCATCCTGGACGTGACCGACAGTGAACTCACAGTGACCGTGCGTGTGCCCGAGGGCCGGTGGCTCTGGCTGGTGAGTCCTAAGGCTGCTGTCCCTCCGTATGGACATCCTGAATGTGCTCAGGAACCAGCCGTCCTCACATCTGTCACACCACCATCAGTCGCTCAGCCAGGGTGTGTCCCCTGCCTGCCTTGGCCCAGCCCTGTACCAGGGGCGAGAGCTGAGATGTTGCCCACCAACCCCCCGGGACCCTGCTGGTCAGAGCGGCCTTCCTGGACGAGGTGGGGCCTGGAGGGACGGAGAGGGAGGTGCCCGTCAGAAGGGATGGGAGGGGCACCGGAGGCTGGGTGCCTCTTCATTGGCGTTGCCTCCTCACACCCCCCAAGTGTGAGGCCTTCCGTGTGGCCCAGGGGGGACCCAGCATCCCCCAGCCTTGCTGTGCCCAGGGCGAGGGTGTGGTGCTACCACTGTCTCAGCTGCCCAGTCTGAGCTTGGCCAGTCACAGAGACCCCCTGGAAATGTGCTCCTGCCGGCAAGCCCTGGCAGTCCCCTGACCCGGGCCCTCTGCTGGGCCCTCGGGAAGATGACCAGACCCTGGTGCCCTAGGAGTATGTGCTGGTGGTCCCTGAGGATGCCTACAGCTCCAGCTACCTCCGGGAGGAGCCCCTGGACAAGTCCTATGACTTCATCAGCCACTGTGCCACCCACGGCTACCATGTCAGGTGGGCTGGGCTCAGGGCAGGGCTGGGGACGGGGCCGGGGCAGGGCCGGGAGCCCGCCTCACACCTCCCCTCACCCCAGCCCCACCAGCTCGTCCCAGTTCTGCCGAGATGCCGCCACCTCTCTGTCCCTCTTCTATAACAACGGGGCTCGGCCTTGTGGCTGCCACGAAGTGGGTGCCGTGAGCCGCACATGTGAGCCCTTCGGGGGCCAGTGTCCCTGCCGCGCCCACGTCATTGGCCGAGACTGCTCCCGCTGCGCCACCGGCTACTGGGGCTTCCCCAACTGCAGGCGTAAGTACCTCAGTCCACGAGCTTGCCAGTGGGCGGGGGGTGCCCGAACCCAGGGGGGCTTCCTGGTGGGGGGGCGGTCCCACCAGGAAGTATGGACAGTGTTCAGGAGAACATTCTGGAGCCTTGCAGACCAGTCCAGCCACCACCTGTCTGTGGCACCTCTGGCAGCTTGTGGCCCAGGCCTTGCAGGGTTGTCCAGAAGGTTCCAAGGACTAGATGGCTATTCTGGGTGGCTCACCCCTGTGGCCCAGAGCTGGCTGGAACCGGGCTGGGGTTGGGATGTCCCTGGCCTGGTCCCCCAAGGGCTGTAGTCTGGGGCCCCTGAGGGAGGCAGAGGGCCCAGCAGCCCTGTGCACATCCCCCACAGCCTGCGACTGCAGCGGCCGCCTGTGTGACGAGCTCACAGGCCAGTGCATCTGCCCGCCACGCACCGTCCTGCCCGACTGCATCATCTGCCAGCCCCAGACCTTCGGCTGCCACCCTCTGGTTGGCTGTGAGGAGTGTAACTGCTCCCGACCTGGTGTCCAGGAGCTCACGGACCCCACCTGTGACGAGGACAGTGGCCAGTGCAAGTGAGAGCCAAGAGCGGCTGCCACCATGGCCTTGGGTGCCCCTGAGGTCCGGGTGGGATTTCTGCCACCAGTGGGTCCTGAGCCCACGCTCGCCCCGTATCGCTCCCTGGGTTCAGCAATGCCCTCTCCTTCAGCTCTGGGGGCAGGGGGCTGCCTACTCTCACTCCAACACAAGGGGTCCAGTTGGTGGGGAGACCCAGCCACCTCCTGACCCCTCCGGCAGGTGCAGACCCAACGTGGCCGGGCGCCGCTGTGATGTGTGTGCTCCTGGCTACCATGGCTACCCGCGCTGCCGCCCCTGCGACTGCCACCAGGCCGGCTCTGCACCTGGCGTGTGCGACCCCCTCACAGGCCAGTGCTACTGCAAGGTGAGGGCCAGAGGGGCCAGGACGGAGCCGGGCCGGTCCCCTGCCCCGCCTTTCGTCCTGCTCCATTAGCTGAAGGTCGTGCTCTGCACGCTTTTGGGACAGTCGGCCAGTTGGCAAGGTCATGACAGCAAGCCAAGGCGGGCTGGGCAGGGGTCACATCTGGTCGGCTGACCCACCCTGCCTTCCTGTCCCCAGGAGAACGTGCAGGGCCCCAGGTGTGACCAGTGCCGCCTTGGGACCTTCTCCCTGGATGCCGCCAATCCCAAGGGCTGCACCCGCTGCTTCTGCTTCGGGGCCACGGAGCGCTGCCGGAGCTCCACACACACCCGCCATGAGGTACACGGGCAGTGCCGTCCCGGGGAGGGGACAAGCTGCTCCCCAAACAGCGGCGTCTGCAACATGCCATTCGGGGGCGCTCACTATGCCCCGATGTGCCCCATAGTTTGTGGACATGGAAGGCTGGACACTGCTGAGCACTGACCGGCAGACAGTGCCCCACGAGCTGCGGGCAGAGGCGCAGCTGCTCCACGCAGACCTGCGGCGTGTGCCCGAGGCCGTCACCGAGCTGTACTGGCAGGCCCCGCCCTCCTACCTAGGGGACCGGGTGAGCAGGCACATTGGGCCCAAGGGAGGGTACCTGTGTCCAGGGAGGCCTGGGGGGACTGTGAGCGAACCCAGGCCCCACCCAAGCCCAACGGCAGCCGTGCCGCAGACCCCTGCTGGTGATTCTGAGCCTGTGGATGGGGTCTGGACAGGTGACAATCCTCTGTCTGGTCTCCAGGTGTCATCCTACGGTGGGACCCTCCGCTACGAGCTGCACTCGGAGACCCAGCGGGGAGACGTGTTCATCCCTGCAGAGAGCAGGCCGGATGTGGTGCTGCAGGTGGCTGATGGGAGGGTAGCGGCAGGGAGGGCAGGCGGGCACAGCCGAGCCAGGACAGCGGGCAGCCCTTACATGCACATGCCTACCTCCCCAGGGCAACCAAATGAGCATCATGTTCCTGGAGCCAGCGTACCCGGCCCCGGGCCATGTGCACCGCGGGCAGCTGCAGCTGGTGGAGGTGAGTGGAGCTGGTCTGGGCCCAGGTCCCTTTGGACCCTGGCATGGCCCCTGTGCCCACTGCATGATGGGAACGTCCAGGCGAAGGACGGGGCTCGTCCCACACCTGCCTCTCGGCACTTGTCTGCTCCCAGCGCTGTGGCCCCTCTGTGAGCTGCCTGTCCGGGTCTGGGTCCTGTTTTCCTTTGGTTCGTGATCTTTCCTTTCCGAGGAGTTCTGAGTTATTCTCCTCACGGACCCCGTGTCCCCCCAGTTTGGACGTCGTCTGTCTCTAAGGTTCTCCTGACGAACAGAAGTTCTCACGTTTACACCACTCAAATTTATCAGTTTTTCATTTGCAGTTAGTGTTTTTGTGTCATTTAAGAAAGTATCTGTCCCCCCCCGAGGTCAGAAAGTACTCATCTATGTTTTCTTTTAAAGTTAAACTACCTTCTTTGTGTGTTTGGAATCTTGTACCTGCAGTTAGTTTTCATCCATGGTGTGAGGTAGGGGTCCAGGTGCTGGTTTTCCCCAGGGCCCCTCCCGCACCGTGTGACCTGAGTCCCCCCACCCCGATGAGGGGAGGGTTCTGTTCTGCCCCCCTGAGGACCTGTCACGGCCCCACAGGGGAACTTCCGGCACACGGAGACTCACAGCAGTGTGTCACGTGAGGAGCTCATGATGGTGCTGGCCGGCCTGGAGCAGCTGCACATCCGTGCCCTCTTCTCAAAGATCTCCTCGACCGTCTCCCTGCGCAAGGTGGCCCTGGAGGTGGCCGGTGAGAGGGGCCGGGGGCCTCCGGCCAGCAACGTGGAGCTGTGCATGTGCCCTGCCAACTACCTCGGGGACTCATGCCAGGTAAGACAGTGGGGGCGGGCGCTGGAACCGCAAGGCTGCCGTGCGCCAGCCTGCCCCACCCTCTCGCGTCCGTCCTCCCCCAGCGTCCACTCCTGCCCTCCATCCCCCCCTCTGTTCATGTCGCCCACCGCCGGGTCACCCAGTCCCCCCACCCGGCCCTTGATCCACTCACTGCCCAGTCCGCCCCTCGCCCACCCGGGTGCCATCCACCTGACCACAGCCCTCCTTCCGTCACCCGCCATGCGTCCGTCCACCCTCTGTCTGAGTCTGACCTGTGGGCATGGTCTGCCTCCTTTCCTGACCACTGATGTCCTCCAGGAATGTGCCCCCGGCTATTACCGGGACGTCAAAGGCCTCTTTCTGGGTCGCTGTGTCCCCTGTCAGTGCCATGGCCACTCAGACCGCTGCCTCCCTGGCTCGGGCATCTGTGTGGTGAGTGGGCCCTGATGGAGGGAGGGCAGCCACCAAAGGCACACACTTGGGAAGACCTTGGGGTCACTAGTTATGGCTACACTGAGGTCCGGGATGTGAGGTGCTCTGGGAAGGGTTCCTGCTGGCCTTGGGCAGCGTCCTGGCAGAGTTGGGGTAGGAGCTGACTGTGGGAATCGGGGTCCCCATGGTCAGTGCTGACCTGTCTCCTCCCCCCAGGGCTGCCAGCACAACACGGAGGGTGACCACTGTGAGCGCTGCCAGGAGGGCTTTGTACGCACTGGGTCTGAGGACCCCGCAGCCCCCTGTGCCAGCTGCCCCTGTCCCCTCGCAGTGCCTTCCAACAAGTAAGCTGGCTGGGTCAGCACTGGCCTCTGCAGAGGCCAGGGCAGCGGGGGTGGGCCCATGAGGTGGGGCCCCCGACCCTGGAGTCTGGCCCAGCCTGGGTACACGGGTGCTCGTGCAGGGCACGCAGGTGTGTGACGACCACCTCCGTGTTTACAGCTTCGCCATGGGCTGTGTCTTACGAGGTGGCCGCACCCAGTGTCTCTGCAAACCTGGCTACGCGGGGACCTCCTGTGAGCGGTAAGCTGGGCGGGGCTGGCGCCAGTGCCACCGGCTCGTGTGCGTGGGCCTCTGGAGGACTGAGCACGGCCGCAGGCACAGGTCACCGACCCCGCCCTCCCCCAGGTGCGCGCCCGGCTTCTTCGGGAACCCGCTGGTGCTGGGCAGCTCATGCCAGCCCTGCGACTGCAGTGGCAACGGTGACCCCAACCTGCTCTTTAGCGACTGCGACCCCCTGACCGGTGCCTGCCGTGGCTGCCTGCGCCACACCACTGGGCCCCGCTGCGAGACGTGTGCCCCCGGCTTCTACGGCAACGCCCTGCTGCCTGGCAACTGCACCCGTAGGCATCAGGGAGGCGTGGGGCCGGTGGGGGAGGACGGCAGCACTGGGTGTCCCCTGGGAGCAGGCCCGGTCCCATGCTGGGCCCAGCAGAAAGAAGGTGGACTGGCCAGGCCCCCGGGGCTTCTGGTCAGGCCAGGGGCCACTCTGGGACTGTCCTGTACTGAGAGGGCATCCCTGGGAGGGCTCGAGCAGGCCCCTCTGGCTGAGTGCGGGCTGCAGGGCAGGAGGACAGGGTGGGACAGAGAGCAGGCAGCTGTGTGGTCTGGGTGGGAGATGCTGGCTGTCTGGACCAGGATGGAGTGGGGGAGGCAGTAAAAAGTGAGGGACTAGGGGTTTCCTTTGGGGCAGGTGGAGGTCCAAGAGGAACAGGAGCTCCGTCAGGGCCTGGGGGGGTGCCGGAAGAGGCTGTGGGAAGGGCTATTGTCACAGCCCACCTTCTGCAGGGTGCGACTGCTCTCCATGTGGGACGGAGGCCTGCGACCCCCACAGTGGGCACTGCCTGTGCAAGGCTGGTGTGACAGGGCCCCGCTGTGACCGGTGTCAGGTAGGCCTGCCTAGAAGGGGCGGGTCTCAGGGCTGCAGGGGCGGAGCTTGGTGTGTAGGGGTGGGGCCTTAGGGCTGGGAAGGCGGGGCCTTAAGAGAGAAGGCGTGGATGACGCGGGGGCCTTGAGGGCTGGGCAGGGCCATGACACCACACCTGTGCCGCAGGAAGGACACTTCGGCTTCGAGGGCTGCAGGGGTTGCCAACCGTGCGCCTGTGGACCGGCCGCTGAGAGCTCCAAGTGCCACCCCCAGAGTGGGCAGTGCCACTGCCGGCCAGGGGCTGGCGGGCCCCAGTGCCAAGAGTGTGCCCCCGGCCACTGGGGGCTCCCCGAGCAGGGCTGCAGGCGTGAGTGCAGCCCGTTGGGGCACCATGGGGTGGCGAGTCCCTTGGGCCCTCAGCCGGCTACTCACCCCATCCTTCCCCTCTCCCAGGCTGCCAGTGCCAGGGGGGCCACTGTGACCTGCACACAGGCCGCTGCACATGTCCCCCTGGGCTCAGTGGGGAGCGCTGTGACGCCTGTACCCACCAGCACCAGGTGCCGGTGCCTGGCGGGACTGGGGGCCGTGGCGTGCACTGCGAAGGTGTGTCCCTGCACTGCACCCCTGCCCTTCCTGACCACACCTGTCTCGCCCCAGCCTGCCCACCTCCCCTTGGGAGTGCGGGTCCCTGCCCGTACTGACATGGTGACCTCTATGTTAACCTCGACTTCCAGTGGAGTCCTGTGGCCCCAACTCTCCCTCTCAGTTTTCCGAGGGACCCCACACCTGTCCTTATATTGACCTTCGGATCCCCCCATGCTGACCTCTGACCCCTACCAACCTTGTCACCTTCAGCCCAGCTCAGTACCCCAGTGCCAACCCCATGACTCCCTCCCTGGCCCCATGCCAGCCCCATACCCTGCACCGACTCACCCGTCCTGCCCACAGTGTGTGACCACTGTGTGGTCCTACTCCTGGACGACCTGGAGCGTGTCGGCGCCCTGTTCCCCGCCATCCGCGAGCAGCTGCGCAACGTCAACACCAGCTCCATGGCCTGGGCCCGGCTGCACAGGCTGAACGCCTCCATCACTGACCTGAAGGTACTGCGTGGCCAGCCCCCGAGCCTCCCCTCCCGGGTTGCAGGCTCTGACCTTCCCCTCCCCGTAGAGCCAGCTCCGGAGCCCTCCAGGCCCCCGCCACGAGACCGCACAGCAGCTGGAAACCCTGGAACGACGAAGCGCGAGCCTTGGGCAGGACACGCAGCGGCTGGACGGCCGGGTAGGACCCCATGGGCCCCTCCCCCAGAGACCCCCCCCTTCTCAGTAGACTTCTCACATAGGCCCCTGTTCCAGGGCCCCAAACCATCCATTGTCATTCCTGACCCTGTGCTCAGGCCCAGGGCCCCTCCCAATTCACCCCACACCCCCCTTCCCCACTTCCAGCAGACTCTGGGCTGATGGGCGCTGTGTCCACAGGCCACAGGAGCCCGAGCACATGCCGGCCGGCTGCTGGACAGCACGGAGGCCACACTGGGCCGGGCACAGAAACTGCTGGTGGCCATCCAGGCTGTGGACCGAACCCTAAGCGGTAGGGGCTGGCCCAGCTGGGCGGGGTGGGGCAGGGGCTGAGCAGAGTGATGCTCTGGGCTCAGAGCCGGGGGCTGCCTCCGGGGGGCTTGGCCTTGAAGAGCTGGCAGGGTTCGGATGTTTCAGTGGGGAGAGGGTGCCTCGGTCGAGTAAAAAGCAGGGCAGTTCAAAGTTGGGAGAGGTGGCCAGTGTGGCCAGAGTGAGAGAGCGGGTGGACCCTGCAAGATGGGCAGTGCCCCCCTTGTGGGCACCTTTTCTCTCTGGGAAAGCTTGCTGGTGAATTCCTTAATTACAAATGGAAATGTGTCACTAGGAAGACAGCGGGGTCGGGAAGAAGTGCAATTTCAGCTGAGCGCTGGGGCAGAGCCGGGGTTGGCCAGGCAAGGCTGCCAAGGTCGTAGGCTAAGCCGACGGCAGCAGGGATGTTGGGATGGGGGCTGTGGGCCAGAGGGTCAGTGGGGCCCGGAGGCTGAGCACAGCCATGGCCTCGAGCCAGGAGCTCTGGGGGCTGCCGGGGGGTGCTGAAGATCAGGTGAGGGGCGGCCTGGGAGCACGTGGACGGAGGTCTGCTCCAGGCTTCACAGCCCCTCCTCAAACCCCCACAGAGCTCAAGTCCCAGACGGACCGTCTGTCACCAGCTAATGCCTCGGCTCCATCAGGCGAGCTGCTGCGCCGGACACTGGCCAAAGTGGAACGACTGCTCACGGAGATGCGGGCCCGTGACCTGGGGGCCCCACGTGCAGTGGCTGAGGCTGAGCTGGGCGAGGCCCAGAGATGTGAGTGGTGTGGGCCCCACAGGGCAGGGCGGGCAGGGCGAGGACTTGGCCAGGAGGCCCCGGGCCGAGGTCAGCACGAAGTGGCATCACGTCAACTGTGGGGGCGGATGGGGGCCAGGTGGCCACCAGTAGTCACTGCCCAAGTGACCATGTCCACCCTGGATCTCGGCCAGTGCTGGCCCGTGTGCAGGAGCAGCTGACCAGCCGCTGGGAGGGGAACCAGGCGCTGGCCGCCCGCACCCGAGACCAGCTGGCCCGGCATGAGGCCGGCCTCATGGACCTGCGAGAGGCCCTGAACCGGGCGGTGAGCACCACACGAGAGGCTGAGGAGCTCAACAGCAGCAACCAGGAGCGACTGGAGGAGGCCCTGGTGAGGCCCCCGCCTCCCCTGCCCGCCTCTCTCTCCCCTTCTCTCCCTCCCTGTCTCTCCCCCCCTTCCCCTTATCCCATCTTCCTCCCCTTATCCTCCCTACCCCTTCACCTCTCTTCACCCCTTCACCTCTCTTCACCCCGTCACCCCTCCTCATCCCGTCACCCCTCCTCATCCCGTCACCCCTCCACCCATCGCTCCTCTTCACTTCTGTCACCCCTGCTCACTCCTCATTGCCTCCAGCATCGGAAGCAGGAACTGTCCCGAGACAATGCCACTCTGAGGGCCACTCTGCAGGTGGCCAGTAATAACCTGGCCGAGGTCTCTAAGATTCTGCACGACATTGACCGGGCCAAGGAGGTGAGCACTGCCCCTCCCAGGGCTGCACACCAGGCGGGCTGGACGCTCCTCTGCATGCAGAGCGTGGCCCTGGGGTCCCAGACCAGGGGCCGTGAGGGGTCAGGATGAGGGTCCCGCCTAACTGAGCCCCCTGCCCCCAGGAGTATGAGCACCTCGCTGCCAGCCTGGACGGCGCGCAGACACCGCTGCTGGAGAAGATGCGAGCCTTCTTCCCAGCGAGCAGCAAGGTGGACCTGGTAGAAGCCGCAGAGGCCCACGCGTGGCGGCTGGACCAGCTGGCGCGCAACCTCTCCAGGTGCAGGGCTCGAAGAGGGGTGCCCTCGGGATGCAGCCCGGGTTCCTGCCAGGCCACAGCTGGTCAGGGAAGTCCTAGAGGGAGAAGCCATCGTCCCAACAGGGGCAGTGAGGAGCAGGAAAGACACTGGGTGGTGGAAGGGCATGGGCAGAGGGTGGGGGCCCAGGCTGGCCTGGCAGCTGTGATGGCGGGAGGCCCCATGTGCTGGGCTAAAGACCTCTGAACCCCACCCACACGTCTCACCCCCCCCCCCAAAGCATCATCCGTGGAGTCAACCAGGACCGCTTCATCCAGAGGGCCATCGAGGCCGCCAACGCCTACGGCAGCATCCTGCGAGCCGTGCAGGCTGCCGAGGGGGCCGCGGGCCGGGCCCTACAGCAGGCAGGCCAGACGTGGACGGTGAGGCCCGCCCCTCCCCTCAGTCCCTGAAGGGGCCCTTGCGCCCCCCTCCCCCCAGCTCCCGCTGGGCGGGTGTGAGCTGCGTCCTGTCCCCATGTCTGCAGACAGTGGTGCAGCAGGGCCTGGCACCCCGAGCCCGGGAGTTACGGGCCAACAGCAGTGCGCTGGGGGAGGCCCTCCTCAGGGAGCAGCAGAGGTTGGGCCGCGGTGAGTGCCGGCATCTCTGGGGGGCCAGGCTTGCGGGGACCTTCAGGCTCTGGGCATGTGTGGGGGTTTGTGGGTTGTTACAGTGAGTCAGGGTGGCGGCTGCCCTGTGCGGGAATCCTGCTCCCCAGTGGCTCTGCGTGTGCTCCCCTGGGAGCCCTGACTTTGTGGCGGGGCCCTGGGACTAGGCAGGTGTCTGGGTAAGAGGACACGGGACCAGCTGACGGGTCGCCCTGCTGCCCTGGCTGGAGGGCTGTCCGATGAGAAAAGGCAGACGGGAGTGGGGGGTTCCCCCCGCTTCTAGAACCCTGAGTAATGGCTTGGCTTTTCTGAGCCTCCGTGGTTTCATCTATAAAGTGGGGATGATTGCGTTTTGCTGTGGGACTGGAAGGGGGCCCCGAGACGGGGGTGCTCCGGCACCTCCCCCGCCAAGGGCCCCCGTGTTGATGTCTCCATCTGTCAGCATGCATGTCAGCCTTGGTCCTTCCTGGTACCTGGGGGTGGGGGCTCCTTGATGCTGAGGCTGCCTCCCCCGCAGTGTGGGCCACCCTCCAGGGCACTGGGACCCACCTCCGTGATGCCCGGGCCGAGAAGGAGCAGCTGGCAGCCCAAGTCCAGGAGGTGCAGGCCATGCTGGCCATGGACACAGGTAGGGGGGCCTCTTCCCTGCCTTCACCCTCACTGCTGGTCCCCTACGCAGGCATCCCTCCAGCCAGGGCTGTCCAGTAGGGCCCTGTGATGGGGACACGTTCACAGATGTGCCGTCCAGAACGGTGGCCAGGGCAGCTGACAGGAATCCCATAGCGGACGGCCCTGGCCCTGGGCACCTGCCTCTGCTCAGGAGACAAACAGCAAACAGAACAGCCCCAAGGTGCAGTTGAAAACTGCAAGGAACGGGAAGTGCTTCAGAGAGAAATAATGCAGGGTGGCCGGGGGTGGGGCTGGGGACACTGGGGCGTCAAGGAGGGTGCAGTTGGCAGGCAAGCACAGAGGTGGACTTGGGGGCCAGTGTGGCCGGAGCCGAGAGCACGGGGATCCCAGGGGGCTCAGAGCAGAGGAGCAAGGCGTCTGACCCAGGTTTGCAGGAGTCCTTGTGGCTGCACACTCAGTAGAACATCGCCCCAAGCATCATGGCTGTGGGGGCCGCGGGGGCTCTGGCAGGGCCCCGGGAGCGATGACGGTGGCTATGGAGCGATGAGGCTGCGCTGCCTCAGGGAGGCATCAGGGTGACCCTGCTCCGGCCCAACAAGCTGGCACGGGAGAAGCCATCTTGGGGGACGGAGAGTGGGTTTCCACGGCTCTGAGGTTCAACTCCCAAGATCCATGGGGTCGGTGTCCCTGTCGCGGGTCCCACCTGGGGCACTTGTTTGTCTGCCCGACCCCTGCTGAGCCTGCGCACCGCCCGCCACAGATGAGACAAGCAAGAAGATCGCTCATGCCAAGGCCGTGGCCACGGAAGCACAGGACACGGCCGCCCGCGTGCAGTCCCAGCTTCGGGACATGCAGAAGACCCTGGAGCAGTGGCAGGGCCAGTACGGGGATCTAAAGAGCCACGACCTGGACCAGGTGGTTCTCGACGCAGGCCGCTCAGGTGGGCCCCCGCTCCGAGGTGCCCCGAGAGCGGGTGGGCTGGGGCAGGGTGGACAAGGCTCTGAGGGCGTTTGCTCCCCTCCGCCCCTCTCCCCGTAGTGTCTAGCCTGGAGAAGACGCTTCCGCAACTGCTGGCCAAGCTGAGCCTCCTGGAGAACCGTGGGGTGCACAATGCCAGTCTGGCACTGTCCACCAGCATCAGCCGTGTGCGGGAGCTCATCGCCCAGGCCCGAGGAGCTGCCAACAAGGTGGGCCAGAGTGCTGGGCAGCGGGGTGCTGGGAGCTTGGGTGATAGATGCTTACGGGCCGTGCACTCCCACACAGGTCAAGGTGTCCATGAAGTTCAACGGGCGCTCGGGAGTGCAGCTGCGCGCCCCCCGGGACCTCTCGGACCTCGCTGCCTACACTGCCCTCAAGTTCTACCTGCAGAGCCCAACGCCAGCGTCCAACCAGGTCGCCGGGGACCAGTTTGTACTGTACATGGGCAGCCGCCAGGTACTGAGAGAGCTAGGTGGGCCGGGTGGAGACGGGCACCAGGTTGGAGTGGGCAGGCCATGCTGGGTCCCTGTCCCACTGAGTCTCCCACCATCACAGGCCACTGGCGACTACATGGGTGTGGCTCTGCGTAACCAGAAGGTACACTGGGTGTACCGCCTGGGGGAGGCGGGCCCTACGACCCTCAGCATTGACGAGGACATAGGGGAGCAGTTTGCAGCCATCAGCATTGACAGGTGGGAAGCCGCCCCCTGACCTCCGCTGCCATGCTTCCCCCACCGCCGGGCAGGGCTGCATGTCCACTCCGAACCCCTTCGCCTGTGCCCTCAGGACCCTCCAGTTTGGCCACATGTCTGTCACAGTGGAGAAGCAGATGATCCACGAGACCAAGGGTGACACGGTGGCCCCTGGGGCCGAGGGGCTGCTCAATCTGCAGCCCAACGACTTTGTCTTCTATGTTGGGGGCTACCCCAGCAACTTCACGGTGAGCCTGGCGTGGGCTGCAGTCCATCCCACTGCAATGAGCTCCTCTTGGGTCTGTCTTGGGTGAGGCAGCACCCTGATCATGTGCTGTGCCCACAGCCCCCGGAGCCCCTCCGCTTCCCCCGCTACCGGGGCTGCATTGAGATGGACACGCTCAACGAGGCGGTGATCAGCCTCTACAACTTTGAGAAGACCTTCCTGCTCAACACAGCCGTGGACAAGCCTTGTGCCCGGTATGTACGGCCTGGGGCCCTCTCACTCGGACCTAGCCCACCCTCTGCTGACCCAGTGACCTCTGACCTGCAGCTCCAAGGCGACTGGAGACCCGTGGCTCACAGATGGCTCCTACCTGGATGGCTCCGGCTTCGCCCGCATCACCGTGGAGAGGCAGATCAGCAACACCAAGCGCTTCGACCAGGAGCTGCGGCTGGTGTCCTCCAGTGGGATCATCTTCTTCCTGCAACACCAGGCAGGCCATCCGTCCCCACCCCACGCCGGCCCCGCCCCATGCCGGCCCCGCCCCACGCTGACCCCTGCCCACTCCACAGAGCCAGTTCCTGTGCCTGGCCGTACTGGACGGTCGCCTGCAGCTTCTCTACGACTTTGGCGAGGGCCTGAAAGAGTCTGTCCCGCTGCACACCCTGCCACCCCTGACCACGACCAGCAAGGCGGTAAGACCCGAGCCGGGAGGGCGGGCAGAGCGGGGTGGTAGGGACCAGCTGGCCCTGAAGCCCCGCGTCTGGCCATGCAGATCCAGGTATTCCTGCTGGGGGGCAGCCGCAAGCGCGTGCTGGTGCGGGTGGAGAGGGCCACCATGTTCACCGTGGAGCAGAACAACACGCTGGAGCAGGCCGACGCCTACTACCTGGGCGGTGCCCCGGTGGACCAGCTGCCCCCGAGGTAAGCATGCACGCAGGGCGGGTCATGCTTCTCCACACGCCCGTCCGCCCCCCGCGCCAGTCCCCCCCACACTCGCTTGTCCGGCAGTTTGAGGCGGCTCTTCCCCTCCGGAGGCTCAGTGCGCGGCTGTATCAAGGGCATCAAAGCTCTGGGCAAGTACGTGGATCTCAAGCGGCTGAACACCACGGGCATCAGTGCCAGCTGCACCGCGGACCTGCTGGTGAGCCCGCGCCCCACCCCAGCCAGTAGCCCTCTCCCCAGCTGGTGCCTGGGGCCCTCACAGTGGTGCTCCCTGTAGGTGGAACGGGCCATGACTTTCCACGGCTATGGCTTCCTGCGCCTGGCGCTCGACAACACTGTGCCTCTCAACGGCAACCTCTACTCCGGGTTCGGTTTCCGCAGCACCCAGGACAGCGGCCTGCTGTACCACCGAGCGTTCCCGGTGCGTCTGCCCCCTGTCTGACCTCTGTCCATCCATCCCCGAGTGTGACCGCCTGCTTGCCCCACAACCTCCTGCAGCAGCAGTGGGGGCTCCAGTGGCTGGAGGGAGGGTGTCTGGGCCCCTGGCTCGGTCCACTGACCTGGCCGCTGTCCCCAGGATGGGCCTTGCGAGGTGTTCCTGCAGCAGGGCCGCGTGACACTCCGGTTTGTGAGGACTGAGGTGAAAACTCGAGGGGGCTTTGCCGACGGTGCCCCCCACTACGTCGCCTTCTACAGCAATGCCACAGGGTGAGCCAGGGACTGGGTGGAGGGCATACAGCTGGGTGGGGGCAGAGGGGCAAACGCTGCTCTCACCCACAGGATCTGGCTCTATGTGGACGACCAGTTTCAGCAGATGAGGCGCCACCAGGGGCCACGCCCCAGGCCCCAGACCCAGCCGGACAAGCTCATCCTGGGAGGCCTGCCAGGGCCCAGCACGCTCCAGAACTTCAGCGGCTGCATCAGCAACGTTTTTGTGCAGCGGTGAGCCGAACGGGAGTGGCGGCGGTGGTGGTGGCGACAGTGGGGCCGGGCCCCCCCACCCACCTCCTGCTGCTGCCCCTCCGCAGGCTCCCCCCAGGGCCGCAGCGTGTGTTTGACCTTCAGCAGAACGAGGGCAGCGTCAATGTGAGTGCAGGCTGTGCCCCAGCCCCGGGCACCCAGATACTGCCAGCACCACGAGGACTGCAGGCCACAGTGGCTCGGAAGGTGGGCACCGGGGGTGGTGTGCCGATGGAGCCGGGATGGGCACAAGGCAGCCCCCAAGCCTCCTGGCACCCCCGTCTGACCCCACAGGCCTCCCGGCGCAGCCGGCAGCCCATCCAGGACCCTGCCTGCACACTGCTTGGGACCCTCAGGACCATGGGAGATGCCTACCAATTCGGGGGTCCCCTGTCCAGTTACCTGGAGTTTGCAGGCATCCCGGCACCCCCTGTAGACTGGTAAGGCTGGGCCAGGTGGGGGAGGGTGCAGCGGGGCTGCCCAGGCTGACGCCCCCGCTCGACTTGCAGGTCCCAGATCTCACTGCTGGTCCGCCCTCGAACCCCCCGAGGGCTTCTGCTCTACGCTGTGCCCCTGGCAGCCGGCAGTCCCTCCCTGGCTCTCTTTCTGAGTCACCGACACTTTGTCGCTCAGACAGAAGGCCCTGGGCCCCAGCTCCGCGTGCAGAGCCACCAGCGTTCACGGGCTGGCCAGTGGCACAAGGTAAGGGACTGAGGAGGAGGGAGATGGAGGCCCTAGGGGCCCCCACCCTGACGTGTTTCCCCTACAGGTGTCCGTGCGATGGGAGAGGACTCGGCTCCAGCTGGTGATAGACGGGGTTCAAGTCCAGGGCCACAAGGAGCCTGACCAGCTGCGCGAAGGGGCAGAGGGCCCCCAGGCCCACACTCTCTTTGTGGGGGGCCTCCCTGTCAGCAGCCACAGGCCCAAACTCCCAGTGAGAACTGCCCAGCCTCCCGCACCCCGCCCCCAGCCCAGCCAGACGCAGTCAACCCTCCTTAGCACTCCTGGGCACCTGACCCTATGTCCACCCATCTGCGCCCCCACAGGTGGCCGTCAGCAGCTCATGGTTCAGCGGTTGTGTGAAGAATCTGAGATTGGACGGGCAGCCCCTGAGGGACCCCACTCGAGTGGTGGGGGTCACGCCCTGCTTGTCAGGCCCCCTGGAGAAGGGCCTGTTCTTTGCAGGCAGTGGGGGAGCCATCACTCTAGGTCTGCCTGCTGTCCCTACTCCCCAAGTGTGCCTCAGGCTGGGTGGGGGCAACACCCAGCAAGGGAGGGGCCTGGGGCCAGGGCCCTCGTCCCCTCACAGCCCCTTCCCTGCAGACACCCTGGGGGCTACCCTGCCTGATGTGAGCCTGGCGCTGGAGGTGCGGCCCCAGACAGCCACTGGCCTCATCCTGCACCTGGGTGGGCTTCAAGTCCCCCCCCACCTGCAGCTGCAGGTGCTGGAGCAGCAGGTAAGCTGGGTGGGGGCTGTGACCACAGGGCAGGGTCAGGGTTGGCAGGGCCCTCCTGATGCCCGCCTCCCCCCCCCCCCCCCACAGGTCCTGCTGTGGGCAGATGATGGTGCAGGCAAGTTCTCCACGCTGGTAACGCTCCCCAGGGCGCTGTGTGATGGTCAGTGGCACCAACTGGCAGGTGAGCTGGGCCCCTTCTCTACCATGGTCACACACACTCCTGACACCCCCACCCCTGCTTCTGCAGAGCAGATAGCCTAGGGGTCTCGGGAGGGGGCAGCTTGGGACTCCAGGCAGGGGAACACATTGCCAAGCAACGTGGCAAATAGCCCCGTCTTGGGGCTGGTGAGCGGCCCCTCCCAGCCCAGCCACAGGAGCCTGTGCCCTACAGTGACCAAAGGTGGCAACGTCCTCCGACTGGAGGTGGACTCGCAGAGCAACCACACGCTGGGCCCCGCGCCGGCGGCCTCAGCCCACACCCTGGTGCCTTTGCACTTGGGAGGACTGCCTGGTGAGTGTGGCCTCAGCCTGGAGGGTGGGTGTGGGGGAGTCACCCTGCTCTTGTCCCCACTCCTGTGGTGGGACAGCTGGGGAGACCAAGGCTTGGTGGGGGGACCATTTGGAAGCCAGTCTCTGCTCCAGCCCGTCTCCCTCCATCTTCCCTCACGCCCCAGAACCCACGGACACACGGGCTGGACCCCCCATGCCGACACACTCTTGGCCTCCAGTCTACCGCGGCTGCATGAGGAATCTGGTGGTGAACTGGTCTCCTGTCACCTTGTCTCGCTCTGCAGGCGTCCAGGGGGCAGTGGGGGCCAGTGGCTGCCCAGCTACATAGCACAGCTGTCCCTCTGGGACTCGAGCCGTGCAGGAGGGCCTTCAGGGGCCCCCAGACCCCACGGCGGGCCACCCCAGGCAGGCAGGGCCCCACCTCAGAGCCCCCAGGCCCTCCGCCAGCTTCGTAGATGACGTTAGCGTGTATCTGTCTAGGCTCTAGATTCTACAGGTGGTCTTCTGGAAACGGTCTAAGTTATGTCTGACTTTTTAAATGAAAGGGTGAAACACTATAAAATGGGGTTTTTATACCTTTTATCCCTTCCACCAACTTTTAATAGTTTGAGAAATCTGTAAGTCACTGGTCCCTTCTTCTTAAAACAAAAATTAAAAAGGAACTTGTTTAACTAACTAAGTGTTGATTTTAAATTTGAAGAGAGAAAAGCAGTTGGGCGATGGGTAGAGCCTGGCTGTGGAGGCCCACGTGGGGGGCAGCCTCCCCAGGTCTTTCTCCTCAAATTCAGAACACTGCAGGCCCGGAGGGGTGCTTGTCACTCCAGCTTCCGTTCCCACAAGGGGTCAGGGCCATCGCAACGCCTCGCAGGCACAGAAAAACTAGAGTTGGCAGATAAAAGAAAAGACTTTTATTTGTCACCAAGCTGGAACCGCAGTGGAGGTGTGCGCCAGGCCCCACACACACACACTCGGCCGCACAGCCGAGCGCCCCGCCCCGAAAGCCAGCGAAGAGCTTAATCCAGGCTCATGTCCTCCTCGTCGTCCTTCTTGTCCTTCCCGTCGCCCTCCTTCGGCTCCAACCTAGCACTGTTCTGCATCGCTTTGGCGAACGCCTCCACGTCTGAAACACGTGGGGAAGCGTGAGGCCACCTTCCCAGGCCCTGGCCCGGGGCTGCTGGCCCGAGGCCGTGGGACAGCCAGCCCCGTGCTACCCAAGGGAGGCTTGTCCCTGTAACTCCAGGACAATGAAGCGCCGTGGCCACGGGAGCAGCAGCAGGTACTTACCACCCTTGTTGGCGGCCTCCACGGCCTCCGCGGGCAGGCCAAACTGGCACATGAGGGGGCCCAGCTGTCCCGAGGCCAAGGCTGCGCTGAACGTGCCCAGGGCCTGCCAGGAAAAGCCAGTCTCCTCTGAGCAAGCACGTGGGGGGTGCGGGGATGCACCCGCTTGGGCAGGGCTGAGGGCTTGGGCCAGCGCTGATATGGGGACGCTTGGTGACGGGGCGCCACGCTAGAAGCGGGCAGAGCGTCCCGAGCATACGGCACCCAGCAGGCCACGCGTCTACCTGCTGGAACTGTGGGGAGGTCAGCGTGCTCTGGATCTCCTCTGCAGTCTGCGGCAGCGACTCCCCAGAGGGCAGGTAGGGCAGCAGGCGCTCCTGCACGTCCGCGTTGGCGAGGATGGGTGCCATGATCTCGGGCGTGAGAACACTGGCCAGGTCAACTAGGGCACAAGCACACAGCCATCAGCGGCTTGAGGCCAGCCCGGACACGCTCGGGAGACTGCGACTCTAAGGCGTGATGTGCTGAGTGTGCAGTGGTGACACGAGGGAGCAGAGGCCACACACGTGCAGGGCGTTAGTTCGGCCATGCCTGGGCAAGCCAGCGGGCAGGGCAGCAGGCACCTTCACCCCCCAGCCTGGAGCCGAGGAGCACGTGTTACCTTGCTGGCCGCCTCCGGGCCCGGCCGGCACGTTCATGGTGGCCAGAATGCTCTGGAGGTCGCTCAGCTGGATGGGCTGGGTTGGGCTGGCTGCCGTGCTGGTTCCATTACCTGAACTGGGCGCGGGGCTCGGGCTGGTCGCCGAGGCAGCTGCTGGAGCAGAAGGGGCTGGGGTGGCGCGGGTGGAAGAGGCGGTGGAAGACGGGGTGACCGCTGCTGACTGGCTCCGGGAGCTGGGAAGAGCAGGGTGGCACTGGAACAACCACACGCCCAAAGGCGCCCACAGAACGTTGCTCCTGCCCCAAAGGTCTTTGCACTGCCAGGAGTCCGGAAGAATCCGGACCATCTCCTAGGCAGAGGGGACAGCTGGTGGCACCCAACTATGCAGTGGGGGCAGGGCGCGAGGCTCACCTGGATGAAGAGCTGCTCGCTGGAGGCCCTCCGCTCCCCAGTAAGCTGGCCAGGCCCGGCCCAGTCAGGGCGCCCAGCCCACCTACAAAATGAAGAAGACTCGAGCTCAGACCCCATGCCCACCTGCCCTGCCAAAGGAGCAGAAAAGCCCTGCACTAAAGCCAAGGGACAAACGGGGGAAGGTGGTCCCCACAGTGGGCCCGGGGGACCGAAGGATCGTGACCGCTCAGGTCGCAGTCTTCTGGAAGCCGATTCCTTTAAGTCAGATCACTTGGGTTCCTCCACCCATTCGTTATACTTGGGTTCAAGGTAACAGCAGCGCAAATCTGGCACCAAGTAGCAAGCGCTCCCTCCTGTCCCAGAAACATACCCATCCAAGCCCAACGGGCAGCAGGCAAGCGGCCGAGGGAGACCGGGGTGCAGGCACAGCCCCGAGCGCACGTCCTCAGCCCCCACACCCCCAGCCAGCTGTGCTCCCTGATGCACACAGCTGGGTCCTCACTGGGGGCCCTGGCCCCCCCCCCCCGGGAAGGCGGCGCAGGGGGGAGCGGAAAGGAAACACCACAACACAAGGCAAGCACAGCAAGGGCCGGCCGTCTGGCCGCGGAGGCCGGGGGCGGGCATTACCCAGTCCTCCGAGGCCGGCCGGTCCGATGAGCTGCATGAGCTGGCTGTGACTCATGCTCCCCAGCAGGCTCTGCAGGCCGCCCTCGCCTGGAAGACAGAAGGCACTCAGGCCGTGCTGCCTGCGGCCAGCTTGGCCCTCCTGGAGCCCCTGGCTGGAGCTCTGACCCCATTCCATCGCGTGCAGGTGGCAGTGGGCCGTCTAGGGAACGGGCATGAGGGCCTTCTAACTTGGGCTCCTCCGTTCCCACTTGAACCCACCGCTGGCCCCACAGGGCCCACGCCACCTGAGAGCACTCGGAGCTCACAGCACGCCCCGGGAGGTGAGCATTACCGCCCAGTGCAGACAGCTCATGGCCTCCACTCCCGCTCGCCCCCAGCGCTCCGGGCATCGGGGGGTTGTTCAGGTACTCGTTGACTTTCCGGCAGTGCTCCTCATCCTGGTCCGTCTTGGGCTCCTGCCAGGAGGACACACAGCCGCAGATGAGCGGCCCGCCCACCACTGCCCTGCTTAGAGGAGGGACCTGAGGCTCAGACAGGTGAAGTCACCTGTCTACAGTCGCACAGCATCAGGGAGAGGACCCGGCAGTCCCACACGATCGCCCATTTGACAGACAGGAGACAAAAGCATTAAGAGCACTCCACACACACACGGCAACGTTTCCCATCCTGCATGGCCAACAGTAACCACACGTCCTTCCTTCCGGGCATGTATGCAATGAGACAGCCGTCTTATCCCAGCACTGCCCACTCCCAGCACAGCCCGCAGCCTCTTTGGTTAATGGGAGGACAACGAGCCCCCGGGTGTGTTGGGGTCATCAGGCAGTGTCACCCTGCCAGCACGCCAGATTCATCTGTCCAACAGTCACTGAGCATGTGCTACGGGCCTGCAGGGTGGCAGGGACACAGACAGAGCCCCCACCTTCAGGGCAGAGGGAGGAGAGCCAGCAAATGAGCAAAACGGAGAACAACAAAGGTAGTATGTGCTGCAAGTCTGACAACGTTTCTTGGCAAAACTGGAGAAACAAGCTCTACACCAGCAGCTGGCAAACCACAGCCCCATCTGTGTTTGCAAATAAAGTTTTATTAGAACATGGCCACACCCATACTGTCCACGGGCACTTCCACACGACTTCAGCACAGGTGAGCACCTGGCTCACCAAGAGGAAAACCTTTCCTGCCAGGCGCTAAGGTGCTGGGAGCTCAACCTCTGCGGTGGAACGAGGTGACATCTGTCGAAGCTGCAAACGCACAAGTACACCCACTGCACGAGCTAGTCCACATCTACACTGAACATGCAGGTTACCCTCACACGGAAGTCACCTAGGCACACTGCCCATCACAGAAAGAAACGGAGGGGGGGCGCCAGTGGCCACCAGGTGGGAGAAGGGATGCTGGCGACTAACCTGCCGGAACACGCCTGCAGCGGCGGGGCGAGACGGCCCTGGAGCGCTGGCCCCAAGACCCCACAGCACACCCCTGGGGAGGAGGGGAGCTACGCAGGGTCACCCTCACTTCTGCTCTGGGGTCCTCATGACCCTTGAGAGGTCACTGGGCGACCAGCAAACCAGAGGCCACATGTCCATCGATGCACGGGGACAGGGCCCGGCTGGGCAATCACTCGCTTGTCTGCCAGGGTATTCCACACCTTGAAAGGGCACTTGGGGGCCCAGACACAAGTGCTGGGACTCTGGAAGAGGCCTCCTTCCCACGCCCCCCACTGCAAGGTGACGCACTGGGGTTCTGAGGTTCTGTGGCAGGCAGGTTTGCTCAGCTCCAGCCAGTTTGTGAAAGCTAATTCTAACATCCAGTGAACAAGCTTCTAACCTAATTTTATGACAGCGAGAGAAGACCGAATGCAAACAAAACCTCCACATACCTGCATCCAGAAGAAGAGCCGTTTGGAGCCTGCCTTAAACTTGAGCACGTAGACCCTCCCGCTGGGGCACTGTGGCACGCGCTTGAACTCACAGTCATCAGGAAAAATGATCAAATCCTAGAGAGCCACGAACAGGAAGGTCAGAGTCAGCGTCCCGGAACCCCCAGGAAAACACGCTGGATCCTGTGTCTAAGTGTGTGGGGTGGGGAGGAGGGCACAGGACGGGCAAGTAAGCCGCCAAGCCCCCCCCAGCAGGGCTCTGCAGTGCGGTTACGCCAGGGTGGGGGCACCCCACGCAGGGCGTGAAGGCCAGGAGCCGGGCTCGGTGCTGAACAGGGATGGGGGGCTATCGACTCTTGAAGGGTGTTTTAATACACATTTTGAGAACCATATTCCAAGATGAGTTAAAAAAAGTCAACTCTGACCTGCTCTCAAAACCTAACACAGAAGCACAAAGAACACTGAAAAAGACGACCAGTAGCGAAAGCTTTGTGGAGGCTGTGATCAAGGTCAGGGTTTTTACATGGCTTCTCCAATTCCAAGCACCTAATCGTCAAAGTTTAAAGTTTATACAGTGACAGGAGACACCTATGTAATTGCCGAGACCTGGAAGACCCGTAAGCAAACAAACCAGCTCCTGAGGACGGCAGCCTACACCCCACAATCGCACACCCCACCCCGCAGTGCGCGCGGGCAGCTCCGCGTCCCGATCTGAGGACCAGGCAGGCGCCGCGGGACGGCGTCCGGCACTTACATCTTCCACGTTCCCAGACGTCCTGTCTTTCCAGCAGAAGTGAATGAGCGAGTCGTCCGTC